GCCCTATCAAGATAAATCTAGAAATATCAGATAAATCTATAATAAAATGGCCCTTTTCAGTGATGCATTATAGCTCGATGAAAGTTTAAAAATCGACGTGATAGAGTGTTTCTCCAACTCTTTCGCCCGTGTCCCTTATCTATCTAAAAAATCACTGTTATCAGTTATGTTTTAAGTTTCATCAAAATCAGATAAAAATTGTGACCTCTAGAGGGTCCACGACCTTCGTATTTCATACTTTTATACAATTTGCGTACACAGAGCGGCCATTTTGTCGGGCAATTTCATTTCGATTTTCCCGAAATTAAACCCTCATTATGGTAGAATGGTGATATATTTAAACGATGATATATTCACACGTTTTTTTTTTAAATCGGATAAAAATTGTGACCTCTACAGGGACCACACGCTAAGAACGTGATTTTTCGTACAATCAAGGGCCATAATTCAGCAAGTTACGATCTGATATGCGCAAATATCGAAAGGAACTGAGATCGTTGGGTTATAAACATGAATTTCAAGTTTCATCAAAATCGGATCAAAATTGTGACCTCTAGAGGGTCCACAACCTTGATGTACCAGATGTTTCCACTAATTGCGTACGAAGGGCGGCAATTTGTCTGGCAGTGTTGGTCCGATTTTCACGAAATTTGAACTCAACCAACATTACGGTGTTATGGTGATATATTCGAGCGGTTTTGTAAATCGGAAAGTAATTGTGACCTCTAGGGGGACCACAAGCTAAAACACGATTTTTCGTACAATCAATGGTCATAATTCAGGAAGTTACAAAGTTTAATCAACTTTATATACCAGATGTTTACACTATTTGCGTACGAGGGACGACCACTTTGTCAGGCAGTTTTGGTCGGATTTTCACGAAATGCGAACTCAACCGACATTACGGTATAACGGTGATATATTCCAACGCCTTTTTAAATCAGATAATAATTGTGACCTCTAGAGGGGCCACAAGCAAAAAAAAAAAAAAGAAAAAAAAAAGCGATTTTTCGTACAATCAGGGGCAATAATTCGAGAAGTTACAATCTGATATGCGCGGATATCGAAAGGAAATGAAATGAAATGAAATGAAATGGGGTTTAACGTCCTACTGTTCTGCTCCTATACTGGGCTAATGAAGACGGGCATACGCCATACAGTGTGCTATGAGGGAAATTTTGTCCGGGCAGCGGCACTATCGCCTACTCTTATATCGAATTCAAACTGCCAAGGGATCTTTTACGTACATTCCAATGTATACACGGGACCTCGGTTTTCCGTCTCATCCGAAGGACTAGACAGCTGTCCTTGTCAGGCCCTCCGTTCTGCACCACTGACAAGGGGAAACCACGTCGGAAAATCCAGATGAACTTTCTCGGCCAATGCAGGGATCGAACACCCGACCTCCAGGCTAGCGAGCCAGCGTCTTACCCACCTAGCCACTGTGGCTCCCATATCGAAAGGAACCAAGATCTTTGGGTGGGGATATAAACATGCATTGAGCCCCCGACCCGTCCGTGGTATTATCATCTAGACCGATAGTAATCACAGGCTCTCATTTCTGTCTTTTGTTTATTTCACAGTGGCGGCGTCAAGGGGGGGGGGGGGGCATTTGCCCCTCATAAATCTGATCTGCCCTCTGTTTGCCCCCCCCCCCCCAAAAAAAAAAAATTTGGGAAAATATTTGTGATACGTTTCGATAATCAATACCTTCTACGGTGATTAAATCCCACATCCCCACTCAGTCATAGACTTACATGTTGTAGATTCTGGGCGATTTCTTACCAAGCTCATCCTGTTGTAAACCTAGTATAAACAATAACACGTGAACCACTTGAGAAGTGCTTTTTATGATCCTCAAAGTTTTTGGGTAAACAGATTCAAAGCGCCGAGAACATGCATTCACTTGATACACTCACTCACTCCGTTCGGTCGGACAAAAAATGAAAAAAAAAATTTTTTGTCCAATTCGTCTAAAAAAAACCCTTTTCTGCTGAACATTATATGGGGTGGGGGGGGGTATTGGACTGGCCATGGAGCGATGATGATCATGTTGTATGTGTCCGGTGGTTTTAACGGTCCGACACGCCATCACTGGAGTCTGGAATGGGCTGGTATAATAGTCTTTCTGGGCCGGGTGTGCTGGGTGTGGGCCGGAATTCGGAATCCTGCAATGGGGATTCCGAATTTCATCCGAAAATTTCATCGGATTCACCCGACACTGTCGCCCGCAAATTTACTAATTATTAAGTCACATGCACTCTGTTTGTGGGGATACGCCAGGTCTCGTAGCCTTCCATCACAGGAGGATTCAACTAGCGCTCCCGGTAACAAAAATGGGACATTTTTCAATGAAAATATTCCTACTTATTCAATATTCCTAATTGGTTAATCAAACGGTCAAAATTTTCTCAACTAGTCCCATTTTTTAACCAGTTAAATTCTCTTGACTCTTGACTCTTGACAGTACAATGATAATACGTTAAAGTTGCAATTTCATATTTTTAAGTTATATTTTTAAAATTTATTAAAATAAAGCCTTAAAATAGATGGTATCTATAAACAGTCCTACCTTGTTAAAGAATAATCCTATTAATCCTATAATTCACTATTGCCAGTTATTTTCATCTTCAAATTCCAACGTTTGAAGATAACTACTCCATGGTGGAGAATAGAAAACAAGGGAGGTAATCGGGAGGTAATTGTGTTATTATGTCCGGTGTAAATGAGTTTTAAGTGTGAGAATGACACCTATGATCGTATAATAGTGAGTTGACAACCTATTGAGCAAAAGACAGAAATAATTATGTTTTGACTTTCTTAGAAAATATGAAATTGTAACTTTAATTAATAATATGACGATATGATAATTTCACAGGTTGATGGTTGTAAATTACTTGCAAGTCGGGGTTTTGGCCTAAATTAATCGATTTATGAGATATATACTATTAAAAAAAAGTAGGGGATATTTGATTTTGGGGGCATAATACTAAAATATGCAAATGACTACGAAAAAAGTCACTATAGAACCTAACAGAAGAAACATTTCCAGTTACATGTGACGCCCAAACGCACCAATAGCTACCGCATGGAATGCAGGTGATGCTTGGGATCATCATGGGAGTCCAACCCAAGATTTGCACGACTCTGACTTTGAATGTTACAGTCATTGTGGCATTGAATTCCAGGGTGGAAACATCAGTTTTGTTTTAGTGACTAGAAAACAAATTTTGATATGCGTCGGCTTACCCAAAATGAAAGGTTACGTGCCCTTGGCATGCTACAGATCGGCACAACACAGGCGGTTGTGGCGCGGACGATGAATGTTTCTCAGTCTGTCATAAGCAGGCTATGGTCCAGATACCGTGATACACAATCTGTACAGGACAGACCACGCACAGGTCGACCAAGGGCGACAACTCAAGCCCAGGATCGATTTTTCCGTACCTTATCCTTGAGAAATCGTGTCATCACAGCAAATCAGATCAGCGCTCGTCTCCAAACAGACACTGGTGTGAGAGTGAGTGGCCAGACGATTCGGAATCGACTGCATAGGGGTCACCTTCGCGCCCGACGTCCTCGCGTGATCCCTTGTTTGAGAGATCATAACATTCAGGCAAGACGTCGTTGGTGTAGGGATCGTCAACACTGGGATAATCAACGCTGGAGCAATGTGATGTTTTCAGATGAGTCAAGGTTCACTGTTGATTTTTTGGACAGACGTAGGAGGGTGTGGCGTCGTCGAAACGAGCGCTTCCAAGACGTTAACGGCATCAGACATGATCGATTTGGGGGTGGTTCTGTTATGGTGTGGGGAGGCATCACTGTTGCTGGAAGAACGGCTTTACATGTTGTTGCAGGGCGTGTTACAGGCCAGTACTACCGGGACAACATCTTGGCAGTCCATGTTGTGCCGTTCGCACGACGTCATGGCCGCCGTTTCATCTTCCAGGATGACAACGCAAGATGTCACAGGGCCAGGATCGTTACAGGTTACCTCCAACAACAGAACATCACCACATTACCTTGGCCAGCACTCAGTCCCGACCTCTCCCCCATCGAGCATGTCTGGGACATGCTTGGACAGAGGTTACGTCAACGTCAACAACGTCCTGCCAATGTCCAAGAACTTGCTGCTGCGTTGCAACAGGAATGGGACAATCTGGACCAAAATGACCTTAGACGTCTCATTAGGAGTATGCCACGTCGGATCAATGCTTGTTTGGCAAACAGAGGAGGATTTACCCGTTACTGACTTGGTTGTGATGCTGTGGTAACTTTGCTGTTTGACCCCGGGTATCATTTTACCCTAATAATGGTCAGTCTGTGCCTTACTTAGTCTAACGATCATTTGGAATAAATCGATGAATGTGAACTTCATTTCATTTTGTCATTTGTTTCTTCGTCAGTTTCATTAGGTGACTTTAATAACACTTAAAAATCAAATATCCCCTACTTTTTTTGAATAGTATATTATTTGACAGAGATTATAATCAGATATGCCACCAAATCGCATATTTGGGGTTCATTTTTAAAAATTTTCCCGGGAAAGATCCGGGCTCCGCGGTCAGTAAAAGGGGCCGCTCCGACACAGGAGCCCGGGCCGGTTCCCGGCCCCAATCCGCCCCTGTAAATATGTATCCTGCTGTAGAAATTCCAAATGGAAGTACATTAAAAACATAGTATTTAACAACACCACCGAAATCCGAGGAGAACCCAAGATATCATCTATGGTCAGAATAAATTTCTATGTGATGATAAATCGTATCCAAATACAAAAATCACCTTTCTCAAATATTTGCATTGCAACAGCAGCATCTTCATATTCAAATTTATATTTATATAGGTGGAGATTAATACGTCTACAATCTAACAACAGACGAAGTTTTGATTTATTTTTGAATACAGTTAAAGGGTTGATGACATCTGGCTTATGAAATATTTCAGAAATGCAACCTTTAAACAGTAAATTTTTAATTTATTTTGTTATGAAATCCGGCTCGTTTAAAGCAGATTTATTGTTTTTTAAAGCTACAGAACATGGCACTGTATGCAGAGCAGAGGAGTTTATACCAATGTTTAATTACATCTAAAACGAAGGGATTACAACCTATTTCCATCTATTTGAACATTGCTTTTCTTCGACGTCGCACTTGGCTTTCTATTTTCTTTTGGCCAACATTACCGACTAATTGTGCGAAATCTAACAGAGATTTACCCAAAATATTTGGGCTATTACTTATCTTATCTACTCTGTTATTGCTGACTGCCTGTTAATTTGAGACCGGAGGCTCAGTGCGGGGGGGGGGGGGGCAACAAATGGGCATAAAACCAGACCCAACGTTTCTAGAGTAAAACTTTTCGTAGAATACGATGCCGAGTGGTAATCAGTCCGCCGTTGGGGCGTTTTTGAGATATTCGGGGTCAAAGGTCAAATAAGGTCATTTGCACTGAAAGTGAATGCGCAGCCATTCTTGTATCATGAAAACATGCTGAAAATGATGGAAAGTAATCAACCATTCAATCAAAATGTTAACTTGCTAAATTTACCTTTGTTCTTTGTGACCCCAGAGGCCCAAAGGTCAATTTTTCGGTTTTTGCACTAGGAAGATTTAAAGCAATAAAATGTCAGCGTAAAATATAAAAACTAAAGCGAAACCTGTTCTAATTAATAAAAGGCTTCGAAGTGTTTTGGTTCTATTATGCAAGATCTTTTTCGACGTTCAAAAGTAAATGTACGGTGCTAAGACCACCTAAAGATAAGTTTTAAATGTTCCTTTTATTGTCTGAAAAATATAAAGTTGCCGATTGCCAATGTGTTGTTTACACCATGGACCGTATTTCAGGGTCCATGGTAACATCCGGAAGTTAGAGAATGAGGGTTAGGGTATGGTTTATTAACAACTTTGATTTTTATTCAAGAGTTTCTTGATGAATTTGGCCGATTAAGGTCTTCTTGTTCGAATATATATATATAGGCCCACGACAAAAAACTTTGTTAAATGATCCATATTACCAGTTAACCCGGATGGAGTCAGCGTTGTAAGAAAATGTTTTAAAAGCATTTCTTCATCCCCATCGTCAAAAATATAGTTTTAGAAATGAGTAAATAGCAGAAAATATAGCAGGAGAAACAATTGACATGGGCCAATGGTCCGGGCCATTTGCGTTCGGGTGCTCGTTCAGACAGCAATCACGACCACAGTTTACAGCTGATGGTCGCCCTCGGTATTATATGCTTTTACATTGTTTGCGTGAAGGGGAGCGGTCATTTGAACTTTGAATTTGCACTCAGTCGTAATAGTGTAACTGTGATATATTTGAACGATATTTACAATCAATAAAATTTGTGACCTCTAGGGTGCCCACAAGCTAATAATCTGAGTTTTCGTACACTCAGGGGCCATAATCCAAGAAGTTACGGTTATAAACATACATTACAAGTTTCATCAAAATGGGATAAAAACTTGACATCTAGAGTGACCTCAACCTTAGTAATATTATGTATATATTTGTCCAGTTCAACATCACAGGAAATCACCATCGACTGCAGTGCTTTCGTGGTAAGGGTTTTAAAAAAAACCCATTAAAACTTCTTTGCCGAGTAATTTTACAAGCCAGAAATCGCTTAGAAAGCGCCTCCAACGATCTAGACACCCGGGAGCTTCCGTGGCCTAGGCCGCCCGTGGACCCTCGCCTAAAGTCCTAGGACGGTATGCCCCCCCCTCCCCAAATCAGGAATTGCTTCCGCCGAAACTGTTTCTTGACAGCTTCATAACGCATCTATCGTAGCAATGATCTCTGTGTTAAAAGTATATTTGGAACATGTTTAACCAGTTCTATCACATATGTGTTAATGACTGACACCAATATTGTCCTTTATGGAAAAGTGGGTGTTCATGTAGATAAATACCCAAAGCTGAACTCCCATGTGTGCACTGTATTAGAAATACCAAGAAAAACCGTGTAAAATTAAAAAAGATAAATACATGTAGTTAACAATAAATAAATATTTTTTATACGTCCACATGAAATATTGTCGTCGCCCCTGTCCGTCCGTCCACAGTTGTTTGTGAACACTCTACAGGTCACAATTTTTATCCGATTTCAATGAAACTTGAAATATAGGCTTACACCCTAATATCCCGGTTCCTTCCGATATTGGTATGTATAGGACTGTAACTTCATGGATTATGGCCCCTGATTGTACGAAAAATCACGTTTTAGCTTGTGAACACTGTAGACATCACAATTTGTATCCGATTTGGTTTAAACTTGAAACATATCTTTATGTCCCAAAGATTTTGGTTCCTTTCGCTATTTGCGCATTTCAGATTGTAACTTCCTGGATTATGGCCCCTAATTATACGAAAAATCGCGTTTTTAGCTATTGGACCCTCTAGAGGTCATAATATTTATCTGATTTTAAACATGCATTATGCAAGAGCTAAATCTGCCTATTGCAGGCCTTTCTTTAGGCCTGAAATGCTATATAAACTATTAATTAGACATTTATTAACAAAACAGGACCATAATCAACTCTCAATGGCATCGGATACTCGAGATTTGAACTAGATTAAAAATTTCATTTAAAAATGGGAAAGCAAGGCTAAGTCTCGAATATACCAGTGCCCTGGTTACCACTATGCACACATCTAGTCCAAACTTCCAACAATGACAACTCCGTTCAGAATAAAGTAATTTGACTAAAATTTTCAATATTTTCTTTTTTATCATCTATTTTTGAATCAATATAGCAATAATGACCAACTCTTTATTAAACTCTTAACTAATGTATCTTTAAAAACCGTTTCAATATATCACCGTTGCACCATAATGATGGTTGAGTATGAATTTCGTAAAAATCAAATCGAAACTGCTCGACAAAATGACCACTCGTTGTACGCAAATAGTGTAAAAGTATGTACATGTAATACCAAGGTTGTAGATCCTCTAGAGGTTTATCCGATTTAGATGAAGCTTGAAATGTATGTTTATAACCCAAAGATCTCTGTTAGTTTTCGATATTCGCGTATATCGCGGTGCAACTTCCTCGATTATGGCCCGTGATTATACGAAAAGTTGGTTTTTATACGCCCACATTTTCATGTGGACGTATATTGTCGTCGCCCCTGTCCGTCCGTCCGTCCAAAGATCTCGGTTCCTTTTGATATTGACATGTATCGGACCATAACTTCGTGGATTATTGCCCCTGATTGTACAATTTTGATCCGATTTTAATGAAACTTGAAATGCATGTTTATAACCCAAAGATCTTGGTTCCTTTCGATATTCGCGCATATCGGATCGTAACTTCCTGAATTACGGTCCCTAATTGTACGGAAAATCGTCGCGTTTTTAGCTTGTAGCCCCTCTTGAGATCACAATTTTTATCCGATTTTAAAAAAAACCCGTTTTAGTATTTCACCGTTACACCGTAATGATGGTTGAGTTCGAATTTCGTGGAAATCGGACCAAAACTGCCGGACAAAATGGCCGCCCCTTGTACGCAAATGGTGTAAAAAATATGGTAGGCCTATATCATGGTTATGGACCCTCTAGAGGTCACAATTCTCATACGATTTTGATGAAACTTGGAATGCATGTTTATGTCCATAAAATCTTGGTTCCTTTCGTAATTCGCTCATATCCTGAATTAACTAAAAATCGTGCTTTTAGCTTGTGGTCCCTCACAATTTTTTAACCGATTAAAAAAAAAACATTTTAATATATCACCGCTACCCCCTAATGATAGTTGAGTTCGAATTTCGTGAAAATCGGACTAAAACTGTCAGACAAAATGGCCGCCGAAATGAAATGAAATGGGGTTTAAGGTCCTACTGTTCTGCTCCTAAACTGGGCTAATGAAGACGGGCATACGCCATACAGTGTGCTATGAGGGAAATTTTGCCCGGGCAGCGGCTCTACTGTCTACTCTTATATCGAATTCCAACTGCCAAGGGATCTTTAACGTGCACGTCAATGTGTACACGGGACCTCGGTGTTCTTCCATCCGAACGACTAGACAGCTGTCCTTGCCAGGCCCTCCGTCCTGCATCACTGACAAGGGGAAACCACGCTGGAAAATCTGGATGAACTTTCTCGGCCAATGCAGGGATCGAACACTCGACCTCCAGGCTAGCGAGCCAGCGCCTTACCCACTTAGCCACACATACGCCGAGTCAACAATATTTGTTTTCTTTTGCCAGTAATGAAAACATTTAATACAGACTAGAATCTCATTGCGTGTAGCAATCCATTAAGCAATTATCATAAATCATTAGAATTTGTTTGGCTTCCAGTTCTGCCCAATACTAAAGTGTAGGGTACAAAACATTTAATTTAAAGGGTCATAATTCTGGAATTAGTTATCGGAAATAATTGGATTCTTCGTCTCGGAAACTTAAACTTAAGCCTCTAGAGCGTCCATAAACAATTGTGGACGCCGGACGTCGGACGGACAGACCGGGGCGACAACAATATATACAACTACATTTCAATGTGGGCGTTAAAAAAAGTGTGGAAAACTTGACATCAGCAAATAGGCTTAAATACATCTATCCGTATACCAAATTAGTTTTAAACACCAGCTATACAGTTTTATACATACGTTATATACCCCCAAATAAATACATAGAACCCATAAAGTTATTATAAATGTTCCACTAGGGTTATAAGGCAACATGAAAAGATAAATGTGGAAACAATTTAAATTCAAGCATTGGTAATACAGATGATGATGATGATGATGATGATGATGATGCAATGTCTATTAAAATCTAAACAAACCAAAGATAACAACAGCTCTTGGACGATTTCATAAAATGATATCTGTTGGTTTTGAATTACAGTCACTTTTCCACCACCATTCATTATAGTCTTTGTAAACGTTTCGATGAATCTTTTTATCGTGTAACATTTTACACATATCACAAAGGCCCTTTTTAATGGTCACACCAAAATTGTAAGATCTATAACTTTCTTTGGATTTTAAATAATTCAGATAAGTATTATTGTCCTTATCTAATTTTAGAAGAAATTTCCCTAGTTCGTGAGCATTTTTAAATTTGTTAGAGTTTATGAATGATTCTTGTGGGTAAAACTTTGTGTAATCACCTCCCCCTCTTGTTATGAGTACAACGTCTAAATTTTGTCGCATAAAAAACTTTTCCGTAATATAGTCCTTACATAGGGAATTTTCAAATGAGAGGTAAAATTTGTAGGTCTGATTTATCATTCCGAAAAGATCTTTTGGAATGGGCGAACCACACCTTCCAAACACATCCACTGGAACTATTTCTTTCAATTGTTTTACGTATTTCATACGTTGTCCTGGTGTGTGACAGTTACTTACGACCCAAGCGACCATTTTCTTTTTATTGGTCATAATTTTCCCATAATCTTTATTTGATTTGTTTTCAAGTTTTTTAACAAATCCGTAAGGCACGGGAATATCGGAATCTAAACGATACGTCATTGTCCAGTTTATTTGATCCTTCCAGCCCTGGTTTGACCACACTTTACTTCCAGAGTGATATGGAGATTCCCATCCAGACACTACCCAAATTTGATCATGCTTAGTGCGCTTTGGCGGCGTTCTCAATGATGAATACACCCCATAAAACACCACAGCATCACTGGTGTTGAAGTATTTCCAACCTTTTCTCAAACGGCAAGTTTCTATTTCACAGTTTAGAAATACCCTTTCCCGTGGTAAGCTATCCAAATACCAACCAGGGGAATTAACTAAAGAGATTTCCTTGTAAGTTATCGTTTTTGTGTCCGGAATCGCCCTTATCATTTTTTCATTGTCTTCTTTCTTCACTGTACTCAATTCAAATGTTTTCTTCTCACCACCCAGTGCGATTAAGGGTTCCTTGGGTTCAGATGTGTTTGTATCTCTGTTGAGGAATCTACCTACATACACGAGATGACGCCGAAAGACCATTGGATGGCGAATTACCGTAAGGACTGAAAGTCCTATGATAACCGTTAGAATCAGGAATATCCTCAGATTTGTGTTCATATCTGAAAAAAAGTAAAATTATACCGAGGAGTAATTAAAAATGCATTATGTAAATGACAAATCTGCCTATTGCGGGTCTTTTCCCTGGCTCCAGGAGCTATATAAATTATTATTTAGACATTCATGTGGCAAGCCCAGGTAAACTAGGTAATTGTGCGACACTTTTGGGACTCATAATCTATGTCCGGATGGCCAAATCTTCAGTGTCACACTGTCGTGTGTCTGAGTAAGACTTTACGCTGTGATTAATAAGACTCCAAACTCTTTTCTGTATGTTTGAGGTATCTTTATATGTTACAATGATATATTCTACAACATCGACACAGCAATTGTTCTTTAGGTATTTAAACGTTAATCACGATTATAACCTATGATTTCTACCCTGTTTTTTTCGCCCAACCGTCTTCCGGCGAAAACGCGCTGGTCTAATTTAAAAAGGTTAGGGTCGTCAACTATCAGGGCGGACCCTTGACCATATTTGGGTAAATGTTTCATTAGAGCACGCTGTTACGTCAACCCTGTGTTTATAAAACTGTGCTAATCTGTCCTCCAGAGATATCTGGTCATTAACGTAATAGGACATCTTTTTAACGAACCGTGACACAACAGTAGCCCTCTTCCAGAAATAACTGGTGGCGGGACCGTAAGTCAGTCTAAGAAAGATGAAAGAATCCTGCAAGGGTAGTCCGCGTAGTATCACAATTTCGGGCTAAATTTTCTTTGAATAATATCTTTGTGCGTAGGGGTCTTTAACAGTGGAGGAAACCGGATGACCCGGAGAAAACCTGTGAGACTACGGCCCAGAGTTGTCTATCTAATCAGGAACTTTCAGAAAACGACCCGTAACACTAGGGTGACACTTAACTAGTCAGGACTTTCACGCTGTATATAAAACTCCAAGGATCAATTGACTCTGGAACATCTACAATAGTACATTATGAGTTATTGTAATATATACAGCCTGAGCTTAACAAGCCTAGAACTCAGACCTTATGACTGAAACACTACAGTAGAGACTTTTGGCAAGCGTAAATTCCTGGTCCGTATTGCGTATCCGTAACGATTTTGCGTGTGACGTAATCAATGCATGTGTATTTCTCATACGTGATACGGCACACGGATACGGCAGCACGTATCGAACAGCTTTCATACGGAAAAGGTCCGTATAACATCGTCGTCTTTTTATCGTATTTTGTTGTGCCGTAGCGTTTTAATGAATCTATGCGTATCCTAGAATACGAAGGTGTATATTTGATGTGATTTTAACCATGGCAAAGACGGGAATTAAATCATTACTTTTGATGAGCTTTTCGCGGAATTTTCATATTTTTCCTGGCTGCCTGCACGCTTGTTGATCTACGTGCTAAATTTATGGAGGTGGGACCTTGCAAATCTGTAAAAGGGGTATATTTTAAATAAGATTCGACACTAATTTTTATTTTTTTTTTTAAATAACTTAGCCACTGTTCCCCTAGGAACTCCGAATGCTGTCTGACCAGAAATTTAACCTCGCTTTTTCTTATATAGAAAGTGTAGATGTGTCAGCTATTAGGGCGGGACAATTACCATTTTTGGGTAAGTGTTAGTATGGCAACCGATTTACGTCAACATTATTCTATATAATTGGACTAATCTGTGCAGGAGATCATTGGACGATAGTACCCTACTTTCAGCAATTGATTGGGGCAGAAAATGTCTGTGAGTTAGTCTAAGAAACTTGATTCTTACAAAATACCTACTTAGCCTATTTTTCGTTGTCACCCATTTGTTTAACCACTTTATTATATTAAACAGGACACCTTTCCTAGAATTAAAATAACCCCTATAGTATACTAAGCAGCAGCAAAAAAACCTAAAAAAACGTCAGGTTGGTATGTTACTCTGAATAGACGCATTGAATAAAACTTTTTGTGGCCACATCTCTAACTTTACCTGAGCAATATGGCTCCTTCCCAAACATATAATTGAACTTAGGAAATGTTCTCAAAAACGCAACCTGACTTCTGAGATGGTAATGTGTTCTCCATGATTTTCATGTAACCGGGACTAGCCCTATAAAATGCACTTCCATACCTGGTTGAATCATTCAATCATTTTGCGGCGTGAAATCACGCCACTTTGCCTAATGACAGACCTTATGATCTAAAAACCGTCGAGAGAAAATTTAACTGTCGCAAACGCCTTTTTCTGCTCTTCCAGTTCGTAAATAGAGCAACTTCAATGCGGTCCAATAATATAGCCTACCATACAACCAATCAATCGTCGCGGGGTATGGGGGCCTTCCCCTCCTCGAGAAAATTTTGCAACTCTATGTCGATCTGTGCATTCACAAATAATAATCGATGCCCGAAAAATGTAACACAATTTAGAGTGGCTCCAGACAAAATGTATTAATCTTTAGTCAATTCAGTACAATTTTGTGGTATTCAATTAAAATAAAAGTAAAATTATTGTTGTATTAGATTTCGGGCACTTTATTTTGCCGACTAGATGAAAAAATAATTTTTGTTTTCACTTTACCCGTCTGCCTGAAAAGTCAGATAGCCTCTATCACGTTAACAAGGTTTTAAGGCAAAGGGAGCTAACCACGGAACGAAAAGTCGTCGATCGGTAAAAATCGATAGGGTTTGTCCTCACACGACCCCAATGCATCACATCTAATTTAAAACAAGCGATTGTCGTGCAAGGTACGGCCACAGTTTGCAAGGGTGCATCTCCATGGTCTCAATGCTTCACATCGAATTTGAAAATAAATCTGTTAAAAATGGTTGCTTCACAAGGTTTTCGACATAAATTGTGTTTTAGCCAAGGGCATTAAGGGTCACTACCTCAATGCTTCTCACCAATTGTGAAAAAAGACCGTTAAAAGGGTTCTTCGGATAATACATGTATAAAGTAAATCTGGAATGCTGAATAATATCGATAGGGTTCGTTTTCTAATGAACCCAATGTTCCGCACCAAATTTGAAAAAGACCTGTTAAAAACTGTAGCCTCTATCGAATTCACAAAGTTTTCAGTTAAGGGAGTATAATACCCCCGTCAGACTAGGGTGGCGTCCTTACTGCGACGCTACAGCGACGGAAAATGGCCCTAGAGCGCGTCAAGATCATAGACATAATAATAATATAGACTGCTTCATCCAATGACGTCAATATGGACAATAGTGACGCCACAGGAAGTAGAAAATCCGCCATCTTCCGCTACCCCACATGACGCCATTGTTCAACGTTGCCGTATGTAGGATTGCCGATAATGCCGTGTTATGTTGCATTCAAAAGCAGCCACAAACTTTCCATTGTGATTTTATCATTTCATACGTGAGTAAGTGGAGTAACAATCATATTTAGTCGAAAATATGGTGAGTTTGCTCACAAGACAAGACCGACGTTCACGTTGATTTAGAATTTAGGCCTACATCCGATTCCCAGCTTTTACAATTATTACATCGTAGAGCACAGGAATCTGACATTCTATCCGTATTATATATGCATACACCACACCGAACTAGACAATATATAATTTATTATATATATATTGTCTAGTTCATTATGGTGTATGCATATATATACGATTAGAAGGTCAGGTTCCTGTGCGTAGAGGAAGAAATAAAGGAGAAAGAAATTAATGAATGAAAGGAATAGTAAAGGAAAACATACTTTACAGATTAAGGCCAAGCATAAAGCCATAGGCCTATTCTACTAGAAACCTATATGATGTTTGTGATGTATTTCTTATACACGCCTATGTAAATGGCCTAAAATTAGGAAAACAAATGCTATAAAATTACAGACATAACAACCAGGAGCGTGCTGGCAGGGAGTTTAGCGGGCCCCCCTGAGAACTCTAATTTTCACGCGGAATCCCCTCAAAAAATTGAGAGTGCGCACGCGAAAAATCATACATACACAACGATTAGTAAAATATATTATGCTGACGTGCAAATGTCTGTCACCTTAAGGTGAAATTGTCTTTGATACATGTATTCATGACTCGATATGTATAAGATGCAATTTATTATTTGGATAGAAATACATTGTATTAGCATTATATTAAGCAGACCTGTCATGAGTGTCTTGTGTAGTACAGTAGTATGTCTTATAGTCAAAATAGCAGCATAAATTGTGGGTTTTTTTTTTATTAATTATTAATTTATTTTTTTGAGAGAGAGAGAGAGAGAGAGAGAGAGAGAGATACCTGTACATATAATTCTAAAAACAATGAGCGTCCCAGAAAACATTGAGCCAGGCGTATACTGATTACTGTGTGGTTTAAGTATACTACTACCGCGATCATCTCAGTAAGTAACAATGCGCGAATTTATTTAAAAAATATATAGTTCTACAACGAAAATAATCTATAAAAAGTAAACAACGAGAAAATAAGAATAAAAAAACGGAATTATCGTGAAACAGATTTTATGCGCTTGAATAGAATGGCTGAGCTATTTTAACACCCCAAAATCCAAATCCAAAATATAATTGAAATAAAAGGAAAAAACCTAAGTATTTCATTTTTAGAAATATTTATTAAAATAACAGGAATATGGACGAAAATCACAACTATTTGATTAATAAACAAGACCTGTTATAATGAAATCAATGACGCAAACGTCATCGAGGGGTAATCCAATATGGCGGACCGTGGCGTCACTGATCTGATGACGTTATCAGTCTATATTATTAGTATGTCTATGGTCAAGATCGCCATAAGCGCGGTAAACGCGTGGTGGAAACGCCAGATATCGTGCTGTGGTCTCCATGGTCGTGAATGATCGCCTAGTCACCGCGTTTGTTTTAAGCAGGTTCAAAACAAACGCCAAGGCTTTGCGATCTAACCTGGGAAGTTGTAATGCCCCAGCCAGACCTGGTGGCGTCCTTACTGCGCTGCAGAGACCGTACGGCGACCAGATAATGCACAAGATCGCTGTACGGTCGCAGCCATAGGCGTACGGGCTCGATGACAGCTAGGGGGACAGAACGCGATATGCCCGAAAACAATTTC